AAAAAATCCGGATTGGGCGACTTTTGCCTTCAACCGAGGATTCCTCAGCTTTTAGAACGACTAGAAAGATGTGCACTAGCTCAAACCAAGCTGATTCATCGAATAATAGCTGTGAAGTGCTCACTAAATAACCTTAAAAAGGCGATAATGATACTTTTGTTTGAATGTCTCTCAAATGAAAAGTACAGACGATCCCCTCAGTAGTAATCCTTAGAAGTGGAATTCTCCCTCAATAGCAATAAATTAACGGTTCCTGTTGACCAGTCACTTACAAACCCAAGATATTATTCCCTCTCACCCCTCAATCGTAAAATGGAATACACTTAAAGTCAAATATTCCTATTCTGAGGTGCTTAACTACGAAAAAAAAGTCATAACTGCACATGGGCAATATTGCTGTCACATCCGATTCGAATGTTGACTCGATGAAGCCTATGCTTTTGACTACTTTGGACGTTATTCAAGCTTTAGGACCACGGAGAAGTGCTCAACCTTCACTCTAATTGCAAACCTGTGACGGCAACACCCTCTTCACTCCAGGAAACCCAACTGGCAAGTACCTGGTCGGGTGTAGACTGGCGCACGCCTCGTGCCGCGATTTGGTGGCCAACTGCGAGACCGGAAGTGAGTCCAGTGCGGTTCAGCGTATCAATTGCTTCCAAGACCGTAGATTCTGTGAGCCCATGAATTTAGCTCTGGGACAAACTAGGTACGTAAGCATGGTGCTAACATATTTGTACAGCAGTCGTTGAGTAGGTGAGTGTGAGGTAGACTGGTTGGGCTAGAGAGGAGGGTATCTTTGTGTGGTGAGGCAAAACTGGCAATAGGAAAGCAAAACAGGGTAAATCGCCAGTAAGAGCTACATCAGTCGTCTCCATTTGTATATTTTGTGCACTGTTCCACTGAAAGTACTCGGATCCATTTTTATGGTACATTCGAGAGTAGAAATACCCTTAGACAGGAATAACTTAGCGGCTCTCAACGCTATGACTACCGAGGGGATCGACTGTATTTCTTTTAAGTGCGAATTCGACGCTCTATGTCCGACTCCCCTTTTACTGTTTCTGCTCAGTTTTTGTGCACTCCTCTGCTTACAAATTGGACAAGTCTCTACTTACTTTTTGGATTATATTTGAATGTTCGACCCCCCCCCCCTCCCCCCCTATTGGAGCTTGAATTAGTTGGGGTGAGACTCAAGCAGCGCAGAGCTGCGTTATTGATACACCATATCCGCACTGTGGAGAGGCTTTTGGGCAAAACCACTCTTATCTGCGTGACTTCGCGATGCTCTGCGAGTCGTTTGTGATTCCTAATGTATCTGAGCGCGCTTCAATATGCTGTTCGCTACAGAGGTGAGACCATATACAAGCAATGGATGAAGAAAACTGTAATTAAGGATATTTGCCCATGACAATTGAGTGTAGTAATGAACACAAGAAATAGTGAAAACTTAACTGACTGGATTTAAGTTTTAATGCTGTAGGATTACTGTGGAAGATGTTTAAACAAGGTTACATTCATCGACGATGTTGTGACTTTCGTTGTCACAACGCTAAAAGGAGCTCTCCA